TATAAAAATATTATACATATATTAGAATTATACAGAGTAAATATATTGTTCAAGAGCTGATAAGTACTGGCATCCTATCTCTCTCTTTCTCTCCCACTCTCTCTCTCTCTCTCTCTCTCTCTCTCTCTCTCTCTCTCTTTCTAGCCCACACTTCAAGCACTCATCGAGCACACGAAACTCATCAATAAATTCGAATCACTGTGAGCAACAGCAACTCTCAATCGGCCATCGAACCTGTTGCAAAGCTCGTCTCTTAGCTAAGATTGCCCAAGTTCGAGGCGTTCGCCAAAAAGATGAGTGTTTGTCAAGCCAAGTTTACCACCCAATATGCGGCCCGCCTCTCTGCCGCCCCGCTCCCCACCCCCTGCTTCGGCTATGCGAGTTATACGGCTCGTTGGCATTTTACAGTCGCTGGCTCATTTATAAATTTATGAGCTCAACTGCCTGGGGAGTTATCGTGTTAAAATGCTGTGCTCTCTGCTCTACTGCGACACAGAGATACCAAAATGAAGCAAATGAAAAAAGAAGAAGAATACAAAAAGAAGAAGAAATATATACATATATAAAGCACAGAAAAAAATATAAAATAAAAATTAGCAATAAAAAGTAGAAAAGCGTGTTTGTTTGTTAACAACTGCAGAACGAGCGAAGTAAAATGTTTGCAGCTGAGCCAAGCAGCGGCGCAGGAGGCGAGGAAAGCGTAAAGCGAGGACATCAAATGGATTTCATGTCACGTTACACAAATGTGCCAAGGAATTAAAAATGAGTCGAGAGGCAGGCGCCACTCCCAGCAACTGTTGCTGCCTTGTACTTGCTGCTGGTTGTAGTTGTTTGTTGCGCGCTGTTGCTGTTGCTGAAGGTTCTCCTGCTGTTGCTGCTGGTGCTGCTGGTGCTGGTGCTGTTGCTGTTGCTGCTGCTGTTGTCCCATTAGCGTGCTGCAGCACGCTTAAATGCGAAAAGTGTGTTCATTACTTTGCCGCGGCCCCGCCCCGCGCTGCTCCCAGCGTCACGCACCCATCTCTGCTCCTCCTCAGCGTCTCGGCGTAATGAAAATGATTTTCATTTCGCTTTGGTGCGCTCGCTTGCCCAAAAGCTAAATACTCATCGTAGAGCCAACTCTTTAGTAGCTTCCCTCTATGGCTGCCCCCATCCCGTCATCCACCCCTAATGTTGCCTGTCTTCTGATTGCCTGCTCCGTGCTCTTTCGCCTCGTCTCGCAACCTTTTGCTCAGGGCCCACAGTGAATATTTCAATTATTTATTGTCCCATACTCACGCGCTTCCTTAATGGCTGTCTGAGGAGCCCAAATAGCTTCCATAAGTCATAAGCACTCAAAAATATATTTGTAATCTAACAGAGTATAATAACTTCTTTAAATGAAGTAGTTAACATGCCGTCCCCAGTCAAGAATGGGTGTGCACATGAAGCGTGCTCTTTATAGAGATACATTTAAGTTAAAGATTATGCGATGCTCATGCAGTCAAGTAGGATTTTATATATTGTATGATAATCTAGTAAAGTATAATAGCTATTAAAACCAATTCTCCATTTCAATTTGTTGTATAGTTGAAGAATGAAGATTGTTCAAATACAATCTCTGGCACTTCTTTATATTTCCTTCTCACTCTTTTTTTCTTACACCTTTCCTCTCATTTTATTTCTAAAATTCCCTTTCACATTCTATATATATTTACTTCTCGTGCTCGGAATCTCAATATGCCTTTCTCCCATTAAATATTTCTCTCTCTTTCTATCTTCATCTCACGCCTTATCACACCCACAACTTCTTTTGTTCTTTTAATGATGTGTTTTGTTTTTCTTTTTTTTTTTGCAAGACGAGAATTTATGGAAAAGAAATTTCAGCTAGCGACATGTTCTGTCTACATATTCACATGCTTACATGCTTAAAGCAAAACTTCAATTTCCAAAGCTCAACTGAACAAAGCCAAAAGGCTGAATTGACAGTTATACCTACAACTCTCTCCCTCTCTTTCACACTTTAATCCTTCATGCTCTACCTCATCCATTTACCTTCTACATTTCAAGCTCTGTCAAAGTGTGGCGAAAAATCTTTCCCATTTTGATTGGCATCATTGATTGAAACAACACGAAACGTTTAACGACAAAATGTCATAAAACTTGGCACCAAAAAAAAAAAAAAAAAAGAAAGAGAGTCAGAGGAAGAGAGAGAGAGAAGTGAGGGGAAAAGGAAAAGGTAAAGTGTGCTAGTTTTCACTTTAGCTGATTTCGTTTTGTTTTTCTATTTTCTTTCTGCTATATATTTTTTCCCCAACGCTGCGAAATTATTGAGTGACTGAGTGAGTGATTGAGCCATGACTAAAGCCAGTTGCAACTAATTGGATTTTAGCCAGCAGCGGGCAGGAAATGTTTTGACAATTGTGACAATTAAGTGCGAGTCGCAGGCGACGTGCCAATGTCCTGGACAAGGCCACTTTGCCAGTTCATTGCACCCCAAAGGCATACACACAGAGACCTCAACAATGACACCGAGTGCTTTGAATAATAGCTAAGCGAAGAGGAGGGCAGCGAGAGACAGAAAAGGAGCGACAGAGAGAGAGAGAGACAGAGTATCATGGCAATGTTTTGCCGCATAATTCACATAAATTATGCAATTTATACGCAGCGTATGCTAAGCCTCGAATGGACAGTGAGCACAAGGACAATGCAAATGTTATGGGAGAGGGCAACGGAGCGAGGGACAGAGGAGGCAGCGAGAAGCAGTTCGCTGGGGAAGTTAAGAACTTGCTAAGAAATATGTAACAAGTTGTCCACGCTGTCGACACAGCAGATTTTTCTGCATATGCTCTGCGCCAAGGATGAGGTTAAAGGGTTGACAATTGCATTGTATACGGGTATATTACCCATGCAGCATGACAATTGAGTTAACTCGGCCGGGGAGCGAGAGACGACTGAAGTGAAGAACTTACAACTCTGCTGTGCTTGGCGTTGACTGTTGAGGTTTGCCATACAAGGAAACCGTTTAAAGTTGGAGCAACAGAAGCTGAGAGCTTTTTCTATCTCTCTCTTACTCTCTGTATCTCTCCCTGTGGCTCTGCTTTAAATTTATTGATCACTTCTTTAGCCAATACACCTCCCTTTTGGTTTCCTTTAGTTTCTTATCTTCGCTTCTCTACAAGATTCTCTTTTTCTAGTAATCTATTCTTCTGCCTCTTGCCGTATCTCTTTATTGCCCTCTTCACATTCTCTTCCCCTTTTCGCATCAAGCATCTCTGATTTGTTTCTTCTGTTCAATATCGTCTCCCTATGCGCTGGCCATGGCTTAGATTTCTATTATGATGATCCAGTTGCCTTATTGATATTACTTTAAGCTCTATTAAACATATTCACCCCCTTCCAGTTCTAATCCCACACAATGCCGCACAACTTTCTGGTCATATGCCATAGATTTCTAAATTCAAATAATAAAAGCCAAGCAGCCAGACAATGAAGTCCCTGTCCAGCACCCGAATCAGCAGAAGCAGCACCAGCACCAGCAGCAGCCTGTTGACAACAACAACAACAACAAGAACGAGAACGAGAACTGGAACACGAACAACAATAAGGACAACCACACGTCGAGAACTGCTGTGCTGGTGGGGTCATAAGGACTGGGCCGAGATCAAGGGTCGTTTAGAGGTTGGGAGTTGGGAGTTTTGGCCTGGCAGCTGGAGGAGCATGTGGGAGAGTGAATGCAGACGGCGAAACACTGCAATAAAAGTGTGCTGCAGATGCATGCAATGCAGAGGGCGGGAATTTACATTTAGTTTATGAGTAGACAAGCGACGACAATAGTGGAGAGCGTCATGCTGCCCCGGATCCCGTTTCAGTTCCGTGTGCTCCCACTCACACTACCAGCTTCAATTGAAGTTCCAGTTGCAGCAGCAACACGACGAGCAGGAGCAGCAGCAGCAGCAGCAGCAGCAGCAGTAGTTGCCGCAGCTGCTGTTGTTGTGGCGCGCCGAAAGGTCATACACAATGAAATGCACAAATGTCAACATTTAACGGTCAAAATGGTCGTACAGCCAGACAGACAGACAGCCAGACAGTCAGTTAGGACGAGAGATAGAGAGAGAGAGATGGAGATAGGCTAGAGCATTGTGTTGTGCTGTGCGGAAGCAACGAACGCTCCAAGTTTAAAGTTTATGGCCAAAGAAAAGTCCGCAGACAATGGGGCCAATGGAAGCAACAGCAGCAACAGGAGCGCTGCTTGGCATAAAACTGATCAGGTTGACAGCAGCAGAGGAAAGCTGCGGCTGCAACTTTATGACATTCACTGGGCG